CAGACGTCCCTTTCTCGTTGCATGCGCAACAGGGGGGCCCGCCGCCGTCTCGCGGGATGAGGGTAGGTGGAGGGGGTTGGGTGTAGTCCGATACACGCCCGCTCATCCGAAAAGGAGGAGAAACAGCCGAGAAATCACCAACTCAATCATGGGGGTAAGTAACCTCTAGTGGATCCTGAGTGAGGTCTTGTCATGTGTGTCGCCAGGAAAATCATTGCTTGCATCGTCTGATTCGGGAAGGAGATCGGCAGCACAGTCCTTAGCGGGACGTTGTTTGTTGCTGATCGGTTCAACTCGCTGTCCGACGGCAGTGTTTTGGTTTCGATTGTTGTCCGTCAGCCAATAGCAACGGCAACATGGCCCAGCAGGCGGAGCAGCGGTGCCTATTCTGCCTCAGTTCATGACGGACAACTTCGACAACATTCGGGCCTTGCAAGAAGGGGGATAGGGGAGAGGTGGCCGGCTCAAGCCAAGCCACATGCGGCGGCGCCCGACCTGAACCTGGCGGAAGCGGCCGAGGGCTTCGCTGTGCCAAGGGCGATTGACGTCGTCGTCAAGCTGGTATGTGCCATCGAGCGAGTCCTGCACCACGGAACATGCATGCGTGTGGGAATGCAATGATTCATAGTGTTTGTTTGTCCCTCATTTGCATGCAGAGTTATGGGCAGACCAACACGGCCATTCTCACAAGTAAGAGACCTCGGCATGCACAAGACAGACGTACACACAGAAGCTACAGCGAAGCCACGCACACACATACAGACGGCCGTCTGCATTCAGGCGAGGCTACCATTTTGAGCCGGCCTGCCATCGAAGCGTGCCCCAACCTGATGTCGCACTTCGGCTTTATGGTCATGCCGAGCGGGCCGTTCGGGAGCAAATAGTTCGGGAGGCTCCTCATGACTGCGGGTGGGCCAAGTCCGTCCAGGACCCCTGAGATCCCGCAAACGACCCTCACGCGGTTAGCACATACACACACATCCATACACATATACATATACACCCACACACACTCTCCCTCTCTCACTCTCTGTCATCCCTGGCTGACTGCGTGTGTTAATTGATTTCCTTGTCTGTCTCTATTATTATGTGTATATGCTGCAGTGGGTGGGCGGGTGCGGCCAGTCGAGACGCGCAAACGGGCAGCAATGCAGCAGCAGGGAGTCTTTACTGCTGCTGAGTGCGCCCAGCGTAGTTACTGCACGGATTTCCGACTCACCGGACAGCGATGACTCAACCCTGTCCCCTCACTGCTCGGCACCAACTACGGCACGCAGGCGGACATCAGCGCCCTAGGGCAGACGTTGTTTTGGCTGCGGTACGGCTATGCGCCATTCGCGATGGTCGTCAACCCACACAACCGCCACGTAGACGATCTTCGCCACGACCATCCAGCCGCCCTGGTGGACATGATACGGGTATACGGCGAGCCGATAGCGGACGGAGTGTGGCCTGCTGGAGCATACGGGCTGGCGGGACAGACAGTGGTATGTGAGTCAGTCAGCAGCAAGGGAGGGGGTGAGCAAATTGGGGGTGAGGGAGGAAAGGAACCCAGTGTTACCGACTTTTCTTTGTCTGTCTGTCTGCCTGTCTGCCTGTGTGCCTGTCTGTGTGTGTGTGTGTGTGTGTGTGACGTGCAAGGCACCCAAGAAGTTCCCAAACGCCGCTCGCAAGGTAGGCAGATGGGCACACACATCCATTCATTTGCTTTCGCACGCCGTGTGTCGCTTTGTGTTGTGTAGGTCTGGGTGGCGAAGCAGAAGCCTGCCGCCGAGGTCGCAGTGAAAGGAATACTCACGCACAGAGAAGGGGGACTCGTCCGTGTGTAAATGCACACCCCCTTTTTGTCTGCAGGCCGTCCATCGCTGCTTACATTTTATATTCGCTCGACATCTTTTCCCCTCCGCCACGTGTCTCCTCTGTGGAGCTGTGCTGTCGCTCTCATTTTCGAATCCATCTGGTACGTACAAATCCAGCCTTCGTCTGCAGATTCTCCTGACTCTCTTGCCCCCAATTTGGCGTCTCCTGAGAGGGCTCAGGAGAACTGGCTCAACAACGAGGAGATCAAGGCTCCGACGAACACACTCAGATGCAGCCGTGCCGGACTTCTCTTGTAGCGCTTGAATTGCTGCCTGCATTTCCCGCGCATGATTTAGACGGTCCCGCCATCTGCGCATCGAAGGTGAGCTGTCAAGGCAGACTGATTGACTCCGTATACGTGTTTCGCGTCTGTGTGTGCAGAGCGATCGCTGTCTACACCTCATCCCTGTTCAAGATTGGCTGCTGTGCATCGGTGACTTTATTCCCGGCGGCCCCAAAGGTCCGTAAGTGAGGGAGACACAAAATAAGAGAATCATGAATGTTTCTTCATGTCTCCTTACCTCTCTGTTTGCCTTCGCATATTTGGCCGCTTCGGCGGCCACCGAGAGATCTACCAAGTGCCGCCTGGCAGTCACCGAGGTTGGCGTTTGTCAAGTTTACAGATGTGAGACGATGATACATACATGTAGGTACACAAAGAGACTGACAGACAGACAGACAAAGAGAGAGACCTTACAGACAACGCAAATTGTCTGTGTGGGTTGTGTGTATGCAGGTCGGTTCGGCCCCTGCTGGTGCTGGCGGCCCTGGGAAGACCTCCACTCCGACGCCTGCTCCCATATTTCGCACATGCATGCCTGATGAATCACTGTTTCTGTTTGCACAGGACTTTCCGGCCCTCCCTGGCGGCAAGACGGCAAAGAAGAACGACACCGCGCAGGTACACAACTGCTGAACACGTGAGCACACACAGCAGACACCCATGTAGCATATGTGCCCCTCACTGCAGGACGACAAGGCGTTGGTCGAGCCGAGCTGGAAGACAAAGATACCCGTGGGACGCACCAACAAGGTGCAAAGGAAAACAAAGACCTGTGCACATCGGTGCATGATCGACACAGAGACATTTGTGCATTTTTGTCTATGACCAGGTCCGTCCGCAGAAAAAGCACGTCCACCACCACCACCGCCACAACAACGACAAGGTGCGCAGAACATCCTTCCCCACCCCCAACACATGCCACACATTGCCTGCATATGTATCTCTGTTTGAATCTCGTGTGTGTAGAACATCGAGTGCTTCTGGTGCCAGCAGCGGGGCCACAAGATACGCCATTTCCCTGAGCTGCTGGCACTGCCCGCGGATGTGCGGCGGGCAGTGCTGGGCTGAGGCCCCCACACCAGACCACTGCACGTGGTCGCAATCGTCGCTGTCAGCAGTCGCGCTCGAAGCAGGTATGCGAAGCAGGGAAGAGCGAGGGATGTCAGGAGCCATTCGTGGCTGTGCTATGATCTTTTGATCTTTCACAGCAGGGCATGTCAGGAGCCGGCTCGCCCATAGCGAGCACGAAAAGCGGTTCTGAGAAGGTGCGCAGAGTGACACGCATGTGCGCATACAGATGCCTGCACGTCTGTCTGTGTTCGTGTGTGTCTTCCCAGGAGTTCAACAAGAAGCCGGTCAAGGTTTGGGTCCCGAAGGAGCCGGTCACGGTCAGCCCAGAGAAGGCGTGGAGGGTCATGTATGTGTGTTGTGTGTGTGTGTGTGTGTGTGTCGTGCATGCAGCCTGTGATAGCTGGTTCCAAGGATCTGGACAAGGTGAGCGCAATGCACGCGTGCTTCACACATGGATGTGTCGACGAATCACTGCTGTGTTTCCGTCTTGTGTGTGTTGACCTCACAGGGGTTTCCGGCACTTCCGGGCGCCAAGACGGCCATCGAGCAAGAGACCACTGAACTCACACAGCAGACACGCATGTGGCGTTTATGTGCACCTCTCAGGACGAGAAGGCCTTTGTCGAGTCGAGGATGTGTGTGTCACCGCAGAAGGCAAGACAGAGCAGGAGATCAAGGCCATCATGCTCTATCGTATGACCCTCCTGCAGCCCGACATGCAGGTGTCTGCGGAGGAGGTGGACTTCTTCCACCGGTATGCAATCACACACACACACACACACAGAGAGAGAGAGAGAGAGAGACATGGACATATACAAAACGTGTCTCTCGTTTCAGCGCCCTGTACCCGGATCCGGCTCTGCGCTGGGACGCCGACCAGCTCTTTGCCCACCCGTGGATCGCACCCGTCCCTGCCCCTGCCCCTGCTGCCGTGCACCGCCGCATGCAGCTATCCAGCAGGAGATCGACAGCACCAACTACAAAACTGTGACGGCACAGGCGGCGGCGAGCAACTTGAAGAGGCAGCGAGAGGCCCTGGAGACCGTGGACGCCACCGGTGACGTTGAGATGGGCGGCCAGGTGTTGAGGAAGTGTCGGCGTCTGTTGCATGGCAACTGGCCACGCTTTTTTATGTTCCTAATTGCATCTGCCCTGTATGTCATTCGTTTCGCTTTCTACTAGCACCAGGGCACATAATGGCTGGCTGTGTTGGGTCGTGTACAATACATGGACGTATGCGTAGGTCTGCCAGTGGGGAGAGGCAGAAGCTGAGGGGAGAGAAGGTCGGCTCGTACGTTGGCATCACGGCAGAGGACGCCGTTGTTGTTCTGTGTTCAGTTTGTCGTTGGGATCGATTGCTGCCTGCATTCTATATTTGCGTGTCTCTTCACTTAGGGAAGGGTGAAAGGAAGGACAAAGGGACGGACGGGGGAAGGGTGGTGAGTGTCAAGTGCTGCGGCCGGCCGGGGGGGCAGGCGGGCGGGCGAAAGAGATAGAGTAAGGCACACATCGAGCCTAGCTGAGGAGTTGAGAGCGATCGTTTTGTTCCTTATTTGAGAGGGTGTTTGTGGGAGGGACCCGGTGGGCGGGTGGGCGGACAGGGAGAGGGACAGACAGACCGAGAGAGGGAGACCCCTGTGTGTGCCGTGTATGTGTGTGTGCCGTGTATGTGTGCATTATGATGTTGTACATGTGAAGCATTGGATGGACAGAGTGCCCCTCGGGTCTCGCATACATGGTTCTGTCTCATTGTGTGCGTCTCAATGAATGCACTGATGCGGTCGTTCAATCAATTGGCTGGCAACCGAAAAATCGACCGTCACTGAAAAAGAAAGCATCCATGGCATGCAGCTGCTGAGAACGGGGAGAGGGGAGGGAGGGAGGGGGGGAGAAAGGGGGCAGGTCATATGCGCTATGTCTCTTTCGAGTGCTTGCGCGTGTGTCGTCGATCCAGCATCCATCCAAATTGCGTGCCCTCTCTCACTGAGAGAGGGCACTCCACACTCTCTGTGCCTGTCTCATTGTCGGCTCCCCTCTTGTTTGTTTCACACAGACCAAACAGCTCACAGGTGTAAGAGCTGTATATAAAAATGAGAGAAGGCCCGCTCGCTCGGTCAGGGACGGAGGGAGGGGTGGGCGGATGGGCTGAGCTGCAGATCTGCAGCTCATTCGCTCACTCAACTCAGCCACGCACCCCTCCATGGCATGTCTGTCTGTCTGTCTGTCTGTGTGGTGTGGTGTGGTGTGGTATCTACACAGTGTAGGCACGCATCAGGATGTGTAGAGGAGAGACGAGAGGAGAGAAAACGCACGCTCACTCACTCTCTCTGCTGACCGACATTGCGCAGGGCTGACCCTCATCTCATTTCTCTCACAATCCTACTTAAGGCCGTACATGAAGGCATCAAGGAAGGGGGCAGGCAATATGCGCATCATTGGACTAGGCTGAGTAGAAAGGAAGGTGCGAAAAATCAATCTTCTCAAGAGAGATTTTACTCCACACGCAGCCAAGCTGAACAGCCTGGCAATCAGTGGCCTGCCTGCCTGCCTGGATGTGTCGCCGATGACGCCACAGTCTACCAACCTCACCCGCCCACTCACTGATTGATACACACCCACAGCCGAAACACTCTCTCACACACAGATAGACACACACACACACACACACACACAGATCCATCCATCCATCCACTCACAGACATTCACACGGCCCGCCCCATTCACCGCTGTCTGTACAAAGAGAGGCACTGTCTATCTTACGAACCTACGAAGCGAAAAGAACCCAACCCGCCCCGCCCCACCCCTTCCAGCCATCCAAGAGCTAGCTACACCATTCAGTGTAAGGCCAGGCGGGGGTCCCTCCCGCCACCACACACATCACATCACATCACACACGCAGTGTGTGCCGGTGCAATTCAGTACCGCACTGCACACACGGGGGTGGTGGTCACCCCTTCCGCCCCTCTCCCTCCCTCCCTCCCTCTCTCCAAGAAGCGCAATACGGAAAACAACTGGCCAAGCCAGACAGGTAGGTAGTACAGCCGCCACTGTATACAGATCTCTCGCACACGGCCGCCCGCCTAGCCCATGATAGGGACGGTTTTCCTGAGAGAGAGATGCAAAGACACACACATCGCCGGCCAGTGCTAGGGGCGATCCGTCTTTGTGTTGTGGTGTTTTTTTTCGCGTGTGTGTCCGTCCGTACATGTCTACTAGCCGCTTGACGGTGTTGACGATGTGCGGGGAGTTCAAGCCAGCCTGAAGGACACACATAACACAGACAGCAGATGTGGTTGGCGATGGGCAGTGGGTGTCTGTGTCGCTGCTTACGTCATCGTATTGCTCATGTTGGCTGCCAGCTTCAATAAACCGGTCAGGCAACACCAGAGGACGCACCTGACGCACACACACACACACACACACATATGCAGAGAGCCCTCCCTCCCACCCTTCCCCCCAACCCCTCATCCCATCCACTACCCACCTTGCATCTGCCGTCGTCAAGAAGCCCATCCAGAGCCATAAAGTGCAAAACATGGTCGCCAAACCCGCCCACCGACCCCTCCTCAACCGTCACCATCGCTCGGTGTGTCCTGGCCAGCCGCCTGATGAGGTCGATGTCCAGCGGCCGCATAAATCGCGCATCCGCCACGGTCACACCGAGGTCGGGGTTCTCGCTCTCGAGAGCATGGGCGGCCTCGATGGCCGCGCTGAGCCGCGTGCCGATAGAGAGGATGGCAACCTGATGGGTGGGTTGATGTCACATGAGAGGGGTGAGGGGATGCATAACCAGGTTTTGTCGTGGGAAGGAGTCTATGTGTGTGTGTGGGGGGGGGGGGGGGGGGGGGGGG